GTTCTCTTCTGCTAATTTCTCATTCAATTCACTCAACAGTTTAATTCAAATTCTCATTCTATTAAGTGCACTCTATAATTGATCGCTTGACTGTGGAGTGTTGTTCAGCAATAATATTCGATTGTTGCATTGTTGATTACGGCTGTCAACACTCGTCAACGTATTCAGTAAATAGTGTATGCTACAGAATGAGAAATCGATTCGAACTGTGAAGTGAAACGAGACGAAGTGAATGAGAAAAAGTCACGAAGAGAACGATATTCACATGGAATAGCTATGAGAGTGAATACAACACGTCTGAAAAGAATGAGAATCTATCTAAATCAGTTTGAAGTGAGCGTGTCATAGACAATAGCTTTTCATGCAATCATAATCGACTGCAATAATGGGCAACACAACGGTCTAGGACAGTGGTTCTCATAGGGAATGAAATTACCCGTTTTGGGTAATTTCAGAGGGGTAAAGGTGGCCTGCTACATCCTCAAAAGAGTTAATGGAACGCCCGAACGTGATAACCACTGTCCTGGGATATAACTCAACTCATCAAGAACATTTAAGGAAATCCACTGAAATCGATAGTTTGATTTAGGAAATGCTAACTTACCTCCTTATGTTTACTGTGTAAAAATTTGAAGAAAGCCGCAAAATTGGGTCTTCCGAAGTGATTTGATGCCTTCAAGCCGGTGAACATACTTCGTCCATCTGCACTACCACGGAAGTGCTTCTCACAAATGTACTGAAAAAACGAAACGATGTGCCTGAGAAATGTTCGAAACTTGATTGCTTCCAGCATGAAGATGTGTAGCACGATTCAGATAGACCTCACGAACACAAACATCAACTAACAACATACCAGCATTGTTGTTCGTAAGTCGAACTTATGGAAGAATTGTGTTACGAATATATGTGTCTCGAGGATGTTCTTCTTATCCAGCTGTTCAACATTCTTCAGCACGTCTATGAACCACTCGTAATTCTTATGCGTTGGACAAATCCAAATGAAGTAAACCTAAACGCACGCTTTATGATAAGATACGTTTGATTTTCATTTCAACTGACAATTTCTATGAAACTGATGAATTTGCTCAGAATATTGCCAAATTCTTGGCGAGGCGATTTCGAATGAACAAAAACTCAAGCGATGAGGTCGCTAGTAGTATTTTTTCACCAAAAAAGAAGCCTGTTATTATGATCGACATGATCAATGAAATGAAAAGAATTTTCAGGAAATTTCGTTGATATTGGTATCACTGTAATCACTGGAGGAGAAGCGCAGAGGTCGGCAGTACAAGATATAACTGCTACTAATATATTCATTGCTATAATTAGACCGTAACCCAATAACCTTTCTGCATTTTATATCTGTATATTTGCCAGATGATTTCTCCAAAACTAGATCGGTAAGTGTTGATGCATAGGGCGTAATTCCAATTCCCCCACCAATCAGAACAGCCACCTCATACTGATGCCAATCCTGAAAACAATTTCCGAATGACTCTCTCAAACAGTCCTTTTTCCAAAAATCTTTTATAAAATTTTCAGTTGATTACCGAATCGTTCGTAATAATGAAACCCAATCAAATTACCTGATTACCATCGCCATATGGACCATTAATGTGAAGAACGGGCAGAGGTGTGTTGTTGGCATAAGAGCTGAGTAGCTCATTGCGTAGATTCCAAGTCCACGGACCTACAGCTTTGATGTACAACTCGAGAGTGGGCGCTTGCGGCGCTGATGCTAACGAGAATGCATGCACTTCGTTGAATGTGCACGAGAAGGCAGGACACGACACTTGTACCCACTGTCCGGAGCGGAATCGGAACGAATGCGGTCGTTTGAATTCAATGTAGATTATATCTGAAATGACATTAGTCATCTTTTATCCTAGTGCGTTTGCATATAATCATCCGTCCGTGATTTGCATGTAACCGTCCGTATTGTTCAATCTTTTTCGTGAGACACTTAAGTGAATAATTTCTCGTCAAGACAGATTTAAATTCCCCGATTTCATCTCTAGTACATAGCTGAGTTGATGTGATTATGATAATAAATCGCACGGTAGCATTCAGTTGAAGGTGTGATTTTAATGACTAACCTGATGGCAGAATTGATGCACGTAATATTTGGAGTTTCTTATATTGTTGTCTCATACCGATAATACGATCAATAATCAACAGTATCGTCGGCCCAATGATGTAATACGAGAATTTTGGGGACTGAAATGTAATGTTCTCATTAATTTTAATAATTTAATGCAACTTCACAGCAGTTCATGATAGAACTGTACAAAGAGCACATCTTGAGTTTGTTTATTATGCTATCCCTGTTATTAGTGAACAAATAGATGAAGTACTTAATCGCAAGGTATCATGACTTGNACGGCTGGTGCTGAGAACACGTATATGATGCTCATTATGGCCACCAATAGTATGCCAGTGATTCCAGTCAGTGTGCCATAGAACCAATAACTGATCGACGGTAAGAAGTTTGATCTGCAAAAGAGAGCTCATTTCAGAATGTGCTTGTAAATGACTATTCGATTTAAGCATTTTATGGCAGATTTTACAACCGTATAAGCAGTAATCAATTCTTGCCTCTAAACATTCCTATGATCGCATTCAATCTCAGAAAATCCTCAACAATGTTTCCTGAGATTAGTTCGAAACAAATGAAAAGTTTTATTTGAATAAAAATCGAACCCGAATACGGCTTCTCGGAAGAGGCATTGAAGACCATCTTGACTCTGTGTGGCCACATGATAGAAGTTGATACAGTGACCAACCGTATGTACGGCAGCCCAGAAACCGGCTAAGATGGCGACTATTTTGTGGAATGTAATGGCCGAGTCGAACGGAACGTATTCACCAAGCGGAGTCTCACGAAGAATCGTGATCACATTCCGGCACACCGTAGTGAGTATGAGTCCCATGCAGAACGACAGCGATGCGGCCGCACCTCGAGTGATCGCAATCCCAACGCCCATAACACGACGCAAATCACGATGCTCAGTCTCGTAGCGATAATCTGTTAGTTGTTAAATTCTATCGTTTGTCGGTTTTGTCGGCTTACCAGAGCATTTCATCCTTATGGAAGAAGCATTTTCTTCACTCCTCATGGAGAGATACTCCCTAATCGAGTTAGTTTACATTTCAATAGCGAGGGAGCATTGTGATCGTGTAATGAAGATCAAGAAGTGGAAAGAACTTACGCCAGAATCGTTCGAAGAAAAGCAATAGGTTGATAGCGGTGAACATGAACAAAATGACAATGTGTTGACGATAAGTTTCGAGATACGAAAGTACATGATTGATGCAGCTGTTCGCACAACTCTTCGTCTCCTCTTCGTGTATCGCGAAACTGTTCAAACTATCTGTTCTGAAATCAAAATTTCAATGAATAAAGTAACTTCAATCTGAAAATGTCGTCTATTCGATGATAAAGTTGCTCAGTTTCGTAAAGTTCCATTGAAACGAACGATATTGGCTCGTTTAAGAGATTGGCTCTGATTGTGAATGACTTTAGATTTTGCCTCTATCTAAATATACTCAGATTTTTGTCAGTTTCATGCGTTGAACTAGTGCTCTAGGCTGACAGTTCCATCAGCTTATATGTCATCAATCGCTCATGAACGAAAATAAAACAATAGAAAATTTCGCACTCTCTAAGATTTATTTTGAGTTTGGCGCCTCTCATATGAACGCCAACTGGTCGTCGTATATCATCGATCTGATTGAATATCGACTCGAAATCTTTATAGGACAAGATCGTCGATTCAGAGTGAATGCCAGACGTCTCGAGCACCGAATTGATGATGTGATCTTGAAGTGCCTCCTCGATACGCACACCAGCCGCATCGTTCAAAGATTTCACGAATTCAATGAATTCATGCTTCTCAACGCGACCGTTACCCGATCGATCGCACATATCGAAGATCAATTCCAATTTATTGCGTAATGATCCTGAATTAATTTATTTTTTGAAATAACACAATCCAACAATGAATCAAGCATGCAAAGATGAGACATATTAAGTACAGATAAATACTATCGATTGAATACTGACCACACGAGATGAATACTGTCAAAACTAGGGCATTCCCAGTAATTGACTGTCAGCTAACAATGACGCCGAAGAATGAACCGACAATGTAAGCTTTAAATGCAGTTTTGAAGTGAGCATATCTAGGTGCAGAATGACCATCGCACCTACCAGTAGTGAATCTAGAGACGACGTCAAGGAATTCTTGGAAAGTGACTTGAGTGGAGTGTTGACCGGTCATGCACGCGAACATCCGCTCAACGAAGAGGTCAGACTCTTTCATGCCGAGTGCATCGGCTAACTCAGCTTTCGTGACTGTTGTTCCGAGTACCTCCTTTGACACTGTTTCACTCCATTGCGTTGAATGATCGGACAACTGCGGAGCATTGAATGCCTGAACAAAAACTGCTTACAGTTCATTGAGTACTTCGATACGACGCGAATCGTCAGAAATCAACACGGTGAGATGTTTTTAGAATGTCCAAAGAATTGCTGTATATTTCTGAATGAACATTTTTTCTGCGGATTACAATCAAAATCCACTGTGACTTCACAGTGGTCTTCACAGGTTCATGGTCATGTTCAGTGCCATCAAATGCATCGAATGCATTACAATCAGATGCAAAAGACATATGATAAATGCATAAATATTTCAATAAGTTCAATTACCTTCGAATATGCTTCTCTAAAGAAATGATCCAATTTCTTCTGACGTCGTTCTTGTGTTTCAGCCATCTCTAAAATTTTCTGATTGCTGCATTGTCGCACCAATAACTGTTTGTTGCTCTTTTCCATTTGATCACTAAGCGCACGAATCAGTTGTTTGCAGTGTATATCGCTTTGAAGTCGAACAACCTGACAAACGTACTCCTTAGACATTATTGTTGAATCGTACGATAACAGCAAGGAAACGGCATCAAAAAACATCCACTGTAGCTGATGCACATGAGTTGGCTTCACCTCATCTTTGACAAAAACAGCTTAAGGTCTGTTAAATGTTGAAAAATGAAAGGCTCAAAAGTCATAGTAACATCGGCATTTTCAATAGGTGAGCGGATTGGAAAGTTGGCATCATTAGGAAATGTGATCAACGTGTTTGAAATAACCTACAACATCGTAGTGTTTTGGCACTGAGAAGAGTACGAATGGGCCATGCACTGAATTGGAGTGCGGCTCAGAGATGGTCACCTCGAGTATGCTCACATCATCCAAATCCATATATCTCAACAAACCACCACGACGCTTCTCGAGACGTATCGATGGCCGTACGTCAACAATCAACGCAACCGCTCGACAGAAATTGTCATTGATCCACTCAATCACTAAAATCAGTTCTTTGTGTCAGGTTATCTAGCGGTTCTCTCAGGTTATTTCCGATTTCGAATAGGAATGTTTCCAAAGTGTTATTCTCAGAGCTGATGTGCTGATCAAAGAATCACAGAAGTGCTAGCTACAGCTCTTTCCTTCACTAACAAATTTTTGGCCATGATCATCGAAACTGATAGCTAAGCAGTCTCATTTGTATGACCACAGTCAGTTTTTATGTGAGTGGAGTGTGAAATTTTCTTATCAATACTCACTATCCTCTAAAACATTCAATTCGTTTTCAAACTATTTCAAGCTGATCGCTCAGAAGTTCCATCTAAATGAGAACGTTCACTTGATCAAAATACTTCATCAACCGATATTCTTCGCAATCATTAATGAATTATGTTGAGTTATGACGATTGTCATGGCTATGATGAATCTCCATGATTGGAATGATGGAATGATGAAACAGCTGACTGCAAACCTGGCATATTCAAAATCTCTTTCTCATTGGCGCTGCTTTTAAGCTGCTCGACCGTGAACACTGCACTGATTTGTTCATTGCGCGTTGGACTAGCCGTCTTGAAGCAAGGCGGTACTTCACAGCCCATTTTCTTACGTTTTTGTATCAGAAGATAACCAATTCCGATACAAACTGTAAATTTGAACCCATTCAATGGAATACACCGTAAGCAACTCGACATTACTGAATTGTTTTCGACTGTCCGAAAATGTTCAAAAATTTCGGCTCCTTGAAGCCTGAATAGCCGGCAAGTGTATCATAAGGCATGAAAAAGCAAAGTCACTGTATTTGACATACCGAGTGGTATAATGCCTAGTGCAATACATGAAAATATGTACGTGACTTCATTGCCAGTGAAATGATCAAAGCGCATGAATGGGATGCATGGCTCAAGACCGGTTGTGTTCACTTGGAAAGGTTGAGGGCAAGGATCACCGTCTTTCCAGAAGAAAACCTACAATACAAGAGTTGTTCGTATATTGTTAGAAACCCCCCAAAGCTACATTAGCATGAAACCTGAGGAAATATTTAAACTCGCTCCACTTTCCAGATCATAAATGAGAACATAATCCCTTAAACAACGAAAATCAGCGAATGTTTTTGTGAGTTAAAATATGCATGAATGATGAATGCATGAGTTATTTCCGTAAATATTGCGTACTCAACATTCAGCCGTTTCAAAACGTTCGTTCCGTCTTAATAAGCACGATCGTCTTTATGCATCTTAATAAGGATATGATGAGTAAAGAAGGAATGTGTGGGAACGCAACAAATACAACTCAGTATAAAATTAAATTCTGCTAACGAACATTCTCCTGCAATTCATTA